AACAGTTTGTTAAAGGAATGGCAAATTCCACTGTCTTTTAGAAGAAATGAGAATACATTAACTTTGGTGTTTCTCAGTCCCAGCATTTGCTGAGTATTCAACAATACAAGTTTTGTTGAATAAATAAATGGATGAATGAATGAAAGAACAAGCCAATTAATGAAGAAATAGGCTGGAACTTCTGATCCAGGTTTTATGCACTAAGCCATGAGAGTTAAGTAACGTGCCTTCTTAACCACAAAGCTGGGAGTTTTATTCCAAGCGCACAGAGAGAAGTCTTAGGATGGACAGATGGGGCTCTGGTCCTTTTCAGGTCACACGTGAAGCCTCAGCTCTGGGTCAGGCACATTTACCTGATTATGCCCCTCCCTGAGCCCATCCCACACTGCTTCCAGGGGACCAAAGGAACATGCAATCAGAGCTATAGAACCATGGAGCCCATGAGGTTGTGAGGGGACTGATGGTGTGGGAAAATGAGTGTTGAAGGAGGAACTCAGAGACAGATGTGGGTTCAAGTCCCAGATCTAGTACCTCCTAGTAAGTCACATACTCTCTCTGAATCTCGGTTTCTTTATCTATAAAGTAAGGATAACAAGATCTCATTTTGGGGATTATGAGGATGAGATGAATAATGTATATAAATCAACTTTCTAAACCACGAACTCCGTCAACTTACAGACCTAAGAATACTAAAAAGGTAGAAGGTCAGACAGAATGTGGTGGCCCAGGTCCCCCAACTACCCATCTCTTAGCAAAGGTCAGTGATAGAAAGTCTTTCACTGAGCTAGCTGTCTGACACCTCAACCTCAGCACCCGCCCCTGCCACCCCTCCCATCGCACGATGAGAGCTGAGAAGTGATGCAGCCTCAGCCCGAGGCGCCGTGTCATGCTCCAGCACCTGTCATTGCTCCTGTGCACAGGAGGGGAATGCGAGGTGACACCTGGAGCTAAGGTGGGAAGTAGGAGCTGCCGGGAAGGACTGCTGCGGGGGCGGGTGTCAGGAAGCCTGGAGAGGGGGGCTGCACCGGGCAGGGGTAAAGGCACCAGCCCTGGGTCAAAGGGCACAGTTCCAACTCCTGTATCTGCTGTCAAGATGCAGGTGGTCTTGGGATGAGCACGTAACCTCTCTGACTACTAGATGACTCATCTCTCAAGCCTGATCTGCCTGCCTCCCTGGGTTGGTACCACCACATATTTCACTGCATCTAAGACCCCAACAGTTGTAAGATGCCCCATGATTTTGTGTACCACTAAGAAAGAAAGAAAAATGCTGTCAATTAAACTATATCACGCCGTTATTGTAAGACACAGGCTGATTTTAGAGATGTTCCAGCACAAGAAATGTGCATCTTAGAAGCGATGCAACGTGGTAGATGAAAGCACCTTGTGAATGTAAGACAATCTGACTATCCACTCCTGTGGGACAGAACCACAACCTCAGCACGGATCTCAAGAGTGCCAAGGTCTTTCCCTGGAGCACATGCGCATGTCAACTAAGGAGAGACAAAGAAATCAGTAGGTACACGAAGAACGGGGGCAAAGTCAGATGGACAGCAGTGGCCCTTCAGCAAAGTTTGAAGAGCCACTGAGAATGGGAGATGTGAGGGCTGGGTGGACAGAGAACAGAGAGGACAGTTGACTTGGCCAAGGGCTCAGCACCGCTGCCCCTCCAACAGAGGGCCGTGTTGGCCATGCTAACAGAAGGACCTTGCCGACCCTACACATCTGCTCCTTCAACCACACGGCAACCCTTATTTGCAGGCAGTGCTTATGGCTCCTGCTAGTCTTCTCATCCTGTCAAATGGTCCAGTTCCTCCATCTTCCTTCACACATCCTACTTCCCAGACCCTGCACCAGAATGGCGGATTCTCCTTTAGAAGCTCTACACTGGAGCATCTTTGATAATTATTTATAATAGCCAAAAACAGAAAGCAGGCTAAGTGTCAAATAATTGCAAAAATTGAGAAGCTGTGTCCATCTATTTAAAAAACTGCTGATCATTCATTACAGCTTTTTACCAAAATTTGAAGTTATAGGTGCTATGCCCATGCTATATTGAGAAAAGCAGCAAAATTATGAACATTGAAAAGAGAGCTTGCTCAGCATTAAAAGGACTGGAAGGAAATACCACAAAATAATCAGAAATTTTTCTTAATCAGTGAACTGTTTTTCTTTTCTTTTGACTATTTTGTATTTCTCATATTTTCTTTAATATATAATATATTAAAGAAAATATAATAGTTTACGTATAATAGTTTAAAATAAAAATAAATAGGCTAGTCAAGAAATTTCAAATGGCCTCTGACTCATATAGAACTCAGCAGGATCACACAATCTTAACAAAAAATGCATATACATTACAGTACTTTTCTTCTAGACAGAATCACATTTCTAAATGAATCAGATTCTCATTTAGGCCTTTTACTATATAGTACATATCATTTATTTTAAGGACATTTAAAACATCACCCATCAATTATCAAAAAGTCAAAAGATAACAAGTACTGGCGAGGATGTGGAGAAAAGGGAACTCTTGTGCACTGTTGGTGGGAATGTAAATTTGTACAGTCACTATGGAAAACAGTATGGAGGTTCCTCAAAAACTTAAAAATAGAACTACCATACAATCCAGCAATCCCACTTCTGGGTATATATCCAAAGGAAATAAAATCACTGTCTCGAAGAGATATCTGTACCATGTTCATTGCAGCATTATTCGCAATAGCCAGATATCGAAACAATCTAAATTCATTCATTGATGGATAAAGAAAATGTAGTGTACATATATACAATGGAATACTATTCAGCCATGAGAAAGAAGGAAATCCTGCCATTTGCGACAACATGGATGAACCTGGAAGACATTATGCTAAGTGAAATAAGTCAGATAGAGAAAGACAAATACTGCATAATCTCACTTATAAGTGGAGTCTAAAAAAAAGTCAAACTCATAATAACAGAGAAAGAAATGGTGGTTAGCCAGGGGCTGAGGGGTGGAGGAAAAGGGGAGATATGGATCAAAGAGTACAAACTTTCAGCTACAAATTAATAAGTTCTGAAGACAATGTACAGTATGATGACTATAGTTAATAATATCGTATTGTATACTTAAAATTTGCTAAGAGAGCAAGCGTTCTCACCACAAAAAAAAAAAAGGTAAGTATCTGAGGGGAAGAATATGTTAATTAGCTTGATTGTGGCAATCATTTTGCAATGTACACATATATAAAAACATCACATCCTCATACTTTAAATCTATACGATTTTTATGTGTCGATCATACCTCAATAAAGCTGGAAAAAATAAGAATAATACATAAAACATCGCCCAGGTGTGCTGCAATGTCTTTGACCACATACTTCTGAAATACTATGTATAAACTGTATCTTTACACACCAAATCATGTTTAAAATTCAGTAGTAGAATTTTCTTTTAGAAAAATAACCTTCAGAAAATCCTTTTGTAAGGCAACAGATGTTTTTAAATAGTCGCATCTATCTATCTATCTGTTCCCTCTATTGAGGGAACACATTCCAGTCGGTTACACTTCAACTCTTTCTCTTTCACTTAATCACAATTGGTGTGAAGGTTAAACATCCGAGGATTTTGTCTATTCCATGAGACAATGAGTAGAGGCAAATGCCCCCAAGCTCTTACTCTTGTCAGATTTTCCCTGCCCCCTCTGACTATTCTCTGGAAAAAACGTCCTCTTTGCTCCCCTCTCCTTTTGGTCACTCATAATGGTGGCTCATACTTGCCCCTCCTCACTTTTCTACTCCACTCTCTTCTTCACCTCACAGGTTTGAACTACTGTCTGATAGACAGCTGGGTAAGAGAATTTCCATGTCATACCCACAAAGGACATGGGCTCTCCACGGGACCTAGACCGCTCCCCTCCTCTGCAGGCACCCAGAGCCACCTGACACAAGGACCAACAAGAAGCCACAAAAGCCCAGTGAGGCATGCCCATCACCACCAGGCCCAGGGCCCATCAATATGCCACCAGCGGCGTTGGATCGGCCCCAACATGAGGCATACTATATTCATTTCCAAAAGAACGATTCGCCAAATATTTAAATAAATGTGCTGCCATCACATATGCTGTTTATGACACTGGATCAGCTGTAATGTAGTATTACTACATTAATTTCCAAAGGAGTGATTTATCAAATGTTTTAATGTGATTCAATAACTCCTCATATTAATCGGCAAATCATAAAAAAATTCTGTTGTCAGAACACAAATCTCAATTATCAATTCAGAAAATATGATCGCGGTTTTCTCCAACCTCCAAAAGAAACTGCACCTGATGGCATCTTTGGGCCCATCTTTTGGGGGTGCCCCTCAGGCTAGGGCAAGCTGCTTGCTTTAATGAAAAGACTCACTGGGATATGTGTGTTCAGCACTAGCCAGGCCCAGAATGGGAAACCAGGAGCAGCTAGATCTTGGTTCCATGGCCTCTGCTGGATGCCACAAGTATCTCCACAGAGTACCCACCCTCCCCTGCAGGTAGATCACCTATGGTCCAGCCCCATGGGCAATTTTTTTTTTCTTTTTTTGTGAGGAAGATCAGCCCTGAGCTAACATCCATGCCAATTCTCCTCTTTTTTGCTGAGGAAGACCGGCCCTGAGCTAATATCCATTGCCAATCCTCCTCCTTTTTTTTCCTTTTTCTCCCCAAGGCCCCAGTAGATAGTTGTATGTCATAGTTGCACATCCTTCTAGTTGCTGTATGTGGGACGCGGCCTCAGCATGGCTGGAGAAGCGGTGCATCGGTGTGTGCCCGGGATCCGAACCCGGGCCACCAGTAGCAGAGCGCGCACACATAACCGCTAAGCCATGGGGCCAGCCCCACCATGGACAATCTTATTGGAGAACTTTTTCCTCTGCCCCCACTCCACAGATTGTCTTCCCACCCCTGGGTTCCTTGCACCAGCCACTTCCTGACACCACAGGTGTGCCCCCACATACAAAGAAGGAGAGACAGGAGGAGGACTTACCCACTGAGGACCACAATGAAGTCCATGACATTCCAGCCATTGCGGAGGTATGAGCCCTTATGGAAGATGAACCCCAGGGCCACGATTTTGATCCCAGCTTCAAAGCAAAAGATCCCAATGAAATATGGTTCTGTCTTCTCCTGTGGGATGAGGAGCAGAGGTGCTGGTAAGGGGAGGACTGTGCTTCATCAGAGGCACACCCTGGCCACCCCCTCCACTCTGACCTTTCTTCTCTCCTACAGGACACCTGGACGACTGTGCTGGACCAGCCCTGTGTACAGGTGGGAAGTGAGGGTACTGAAGAACTCATGGAGTGCACAAGAGCAAGGAAAGCCCCAAGGGAGCCAGCTGCAGAAATGGATGCATGTAGGGGGTCACAGCCAGGACCAGACTTCCTCCCATGAAGATGACTGATGGTGCTGGCTTTGCCTAGAAGAGTTGGCTTTTCCACTGCTGGCCTTGGCTTACATTGGAAGCTTAAGAGTTCTCATCCACAGGTAATCAGGCTGGAGCTGCTTACCCACACATTTGGATTTTAAGCAATTTGTTTGCTCTCTTTAGGGGGAATACGTTAGACGCGTGAAGCATTTCTTTAAGGAGAATATGGACGTGACGTTCAGGAAGTTCATAACCATGAGTGCACACAGGCTTTGAGCATCCTTCATCTTCTCTCCTTTATCCTCCCTTTCCCTTCTCCCTTCAAAGTCCCTCAGGAAGGGGCGTGAAGTGAACGGACCCTGTGCCTGCCCTTTCTTCTTGTCTGGCTGCCATGCAATGTATACACAAGTGTTTGTGATGCCCTCAGAACTTCCTGAGAGCAGGAGTTATAAAGGTCAGTCCTCTTGTCCTTATGAATCCTAACGGGGTTTGTCACCAACTTGTCCCTCAGCAAAGAACAAAGTCCTCACAGAGCTCTAGGATAAGGAAGGAGGGAAGGGGGCCAGGGGATGGAGCAAAGGAGAAGGGAACCAGGAAAGAGGAGGGACAGTGGGAAAGAAAGATGAGGAGGAAGCACATACCAGTCTGCGGGACATTGGCGTCTTGTCATCCTCAGGAAGGTGCTGCTCCAGAGCCAAGACGATGCAGTTGGCAATGATGGTGGCCAGGATCATATACTCAAATGGCGTGAGAAAAGAGGAGTTAAGGAACAGATTCACCAAAGAGAGAGGGACACAGCCTCCACGATGGCTGCGCACATTAATACACAAACTTTAGCAACCCGCATTGTGTCTGTGCAGTTTGAATGATTTATATCAGCCAGCAGGCAGGCAGGACAGTGGATGGTCCTTAGTATGGGAAACTATAACTCTGAACAGAAAGCATCTTCTCCAAGAAAAAGAAGAATGTAGTCAATAAAAAATATAGTTACACATATCCCTCCAGGTACTTAGTGAATTCAGTGACACATCCGGGAATTAACCAGGGCTGAAAGCAGAAGTGGGAAGAAGGGAGGAAGAAATACTGAAGCCGTTGCAGGCCCCTGTTCGTCCCAGTCTTCAAACCACTGGACTGTATAATGACACTTCAGCAAGGATCCAGCTGTAGCTGGCTGTTGCTGTCTCTGGGAATCACATCTGGAGTCCCCTCCTCTAGAACCTCTGCCCAACTGAGTAGAAGAGCCCCTGGAAAAGGAACAATTCTTTCCATGTGAGATCTTTTCTATTTTAATATCCAATTCAGAAAAATACTTAATGCGGCCTGGAGAAGCTTGCTTTGTCCTGAGTTATTTTCTCCTAATCTTGTACATCTACAGGAAACACAGACACATCATGAGTCTGAATCCAGGAAAGCAAAGTCGAGGTCTCTAGGAACCAAACTACAAATGAATAGATAATGAATTCAGGCTTTTGTCTGGTTGCATTTTTCTGAAGACAGGTGAGGGGGCTCCCTGCGCCTTTTTGAAAAACAGGACAATGATTCTAGTGCCAACATCCTGACTCCCACAGGAAGGTTGTGCCACAAGCCCAGGCGGAGGTAGGAGGGGGATTGTTAGAAAAGAGAGGGAATCACCGGCTCCCAAGTGGAGTCATTCTGCATGTTGAATTTCATTCTGTAACTACTGTTGTGACAAACACAAGCGAGCTGTTGCCACTGGTCTTGTTGAGCAACCTATGCTCTGGCAGATTCTGGAATCCAGGCGGGTGAGAAGAACAGTAGATCTGGCGAAGTGGAGGGAAGGGAAGGGACTGTTCTCCTTGTTTCCCCACATATCCAGGCTGGCTGTGTAGGATGTAGGGCCTAGAGCCCTCCCAAGGGAGTACAGAAGGAGGGCAAATCACAACATCCCCTGATGCCTCCCCACCCCCGCCATAATGCTTGTGTCAGTGAACATCAGTGGTAAATGAACATTCGGGGCATCTCTGAGGAGGGCAGGGCATAGGGCACGTACAGGCAGAGGTGGGATTGCAAGATGTGAGCTGCCTCACCAGATGCTCTGGTCCTGGTGCTAGAATGGGAGGCTGCAGGGGGTGAGATGACTGGTGGCATCTGAGCCTGGAGTACTTTTAATTCTCATTTGGCAGTGCCGTCTCCTCCCCCGTCACCATGCATCCCTGAGTCACAGCCCATTCTCCAGCAGCTGGCCATCGTTCCTTCCCACACACCCCCAACACTCACACAGGACCCATACACTAGGGACAGCTCTTCTGGCCTCTGCTGCCTTGCAGGGCTCAGCCACTGGATGTGAAAACTGGATGGGGCTCAGAGGACCTCTGAGCCAGCCCCCTGCCCCCACACCTCACTATGCTTGCTTAAACCCTCCCAGTCAGAGGGGAGCCTCACTGCATGGAAAATCCCCCAGCACACCTAGCCATTCCCCCTCCTTTAGCCTCTCTGAGTACCAAGCGAGGCCCCTTGAGAGCTGAACATGCCAGCAGACACACTCATACATGCCCACCTAGCTTGCACACCTACTTTCTCAGGACAAGCCCCCACACACAGCCCATCCTGGGCCGCCACTGCCCACTGATCACGGGAGTTTTCTTCCCTCCCATCAAGAGCTCTAACCCAGAGCTCTGAACAAATATAGAGTGACCAGGGACCACACCAGGACCTGGTGTCGTGCAAGCCCTCTGAACAGCTTGTCCTGGGCCTGGTTCAGACACCCAGAATTCCCCAGACCCAAATGGCAGAATGAAGATGGGAACACGGCAGGAGTGGTGGCCCAGGAATCCATGCCCTTTCCTGAGAACGAGCCTAGGGGGTGGGTGCAGAAAAGGAAACTGAGGACATGCCTACAAGCCACTACAGATGACAAGAGGAGTCAAGGGCGTTTAGGGCAGTTTTCCTAAAATGCAGGCCACGGAATACTAACGCCATAGGAACTTGCAATCAGACAAACAAGGGAAAGCCAGGGTGCAGTAAAGATAAGCAGATTTCCTCCCAGTAGGACTTCTTGGAGACTTCAATACTATTGCACACGGTGTACACCGCGTCCCCCAGGGGGGCTGGGAATAGCACACAGCATTCCCAAACTCACTTCACCACATGGCCCTTCTGTCAGAGCATCTCTCTTGGGAATGGTGTTCACACGAACTTATCTGGGAAGCCCTGATACAAAGGGCAGATCACACCGCCAGTCTCCAAGAGTGGGGAGAGGAGGGCTGGTGGCTCTGACGGGAGTGAAACTAGTGCCTCTTCCACCTCATGCCCTGTCCTTGTTCCTGACAAAAGCATTCACCAATGTGAGGCTCCGCTGGCCATGTGCCATGGCTGGAAATGCCCCAGGCAGGCTCAGAAAGCCGTCTGCAAGTCCAAGGAGCCCAGCACGCGACCTGGGATGCACGACTGAGGACGTGCATGCTCTCATTTAAGCTACAGACGTTATGAACTCTCATTGGTCTGTCTGGTGTCAATGATTGCTTTTTGGGGTACAGGCTTCATCTCCTGAAAACTTTAAAGAGATAACCACAGACTTAAAAGTAAATGAGCTCTTAGTTGCTGACCTGTGGCTAGACAGGTCCTGGCAGCTGGGCACCTCCAAGGCCTTTCCACCCAGCGATGCCGGCTTGGACTGCGGCAGCTCCTCCGACTCCTTGCTCCCACTTCCACATCCGCACTTTCTTAGCCAGATAATCTAAGCATATAGTTCCCTGCTAGGACCTTTAAGCTCACCTAGCCCAGAACGTCCAGGCACAGATATATGAGGACTGTCTGGGAACACAGGGCCAGCCTCAGGAAGGCGTGGCCATCACCACTGCAGGGTGCTCAGGGCAGGAGAAAGGCTCTTGGTCCCAGTGCTGATGAGCCAGACTTCCCACGAGTGGCCAGGTGTCTGGATGGCTGAGAATTCACGAGGTCTCAATGAATGGCACTCCCTAAGGCCCTGGCGGCTGGAATCTAAAGGTGAGGGTTTGGTATTTCTTAGGTTCTGAGAAGACTCCATTCCCACATCCTACCCCACCCAAATCCTCTGCCTGCAGTCTGATGTCTAGGGACCCATCGAAAGCAGTGAAGCTTTGGCTTAAAATTTTGAAAACTGTTCAAATGCACATGCCCTTGAGAGGGATGTTCCTTTAGGCCTTAGAGATCATCTCGACCTCAGGATGAATTCATGTCCGGGGCAATTAAGAACCTAAGGTGAGATTCTGATGCACAAGAAAAAGTGGGACTATGGGAATTCCATGACTCTGCGGGCTGGGTCTAAGAAAGGATGGGGAAGGGGAAATCTTAGGAGAGGAGAGCAGGAGTGGACACTCAGTTCCGCCTGGGCGCCGGCCACTCTCCCTCACAGCCCTTTCCCTTAACCTCTTGTGCACATCTCCTTCTGAAGAAAGCACAAAGAAGTGGCACTGACACCCTGGTGCTTTTGTTCCTCCTGCAGTGGCCTTTCTCCTCCTTTCTGGTCATATGTCAAGATCAAGCTGAAATGTCACCTCGTCTGTGGAGGTTTGTCCCTATGCTCCACAGCTCTTGCGTTGTGCAATTTTATCACTTGTCCTCATATATATCTCCCCCGGGAAACTATGCCTTGACAGCAGGGATGGTGTTTTGTTCATCTGTCCACTGGCCATGCTTAGTAGAGCTCCTGGTACACAGTTGGCACTCACTCAATGTTAAATGCAGGCATGAATGACTGTGAGCAGCAGCTCCATTGAGGAGCCATCATGAAGACCAGGTTGTCGTCACTCACTCCGGCTCAGGCCCGGGCTCCTGCTCACCCGCATCCTTGGGAGCTGACTCAGAGGCGCCACTTCCCATTTCTTCCTGCCAGAAGAACTTCAGGCCCAACAGCAATGGTTGTGCTTCAGGTCCGAAGGGAAGAGCCTGGACTGCAAATAATGGCTCATGGGTCAAGCGAATGCACCTCATAGGCTGGACAAAGACGTGACTTGGAAACGTCAAAGGAAGCTAGCTCCACGTTGCCCAGGCCTCAAAGAACAACAACCTTCATGGGACAGGATGGATGGAAGTCTGTCCAGGACTCTGGCTCCCTCTGCCCAGGAATTCAGTGACTCCCATTACACTCTGTGCCTGACACTAAGGCATTGTGAAGAACGATATCTTTCCCTGGCGTCCAGACTGTTTGTGGTTTGAGATCTTGAACAAATAGAGGTAACAGAGCGGTGAGGTGTGGGAGTCTGAGGACAGGGGCTCTGCCTGGCTCATCCACCTCTGCGCCCTGGTGTCCAGCACGTAATGGGCACCCAATGACTGGTTTGTAATTAATTAATAAATTAATCAGTCAACTGATAAGTGAATAGCATAGAGAAACCAGAGCCAGAGACATCCTTACAGAAGGTACCCCGTGCTTTCTCCACGCTTTGAATACTCATTTGAACTTTTTGTACTGTGTACTGTGTACACACAGTAGCTATTCAAAAAAGAAACCAGCATGCATAGAAGATCCCTTTAATGTAAAAAAAAAAATTTTAAAGAGCAAAGAAAAAAATCTGTCTTGCTAAAAACATAATGAGTTTTCTCGGAGTAGTGGGGCTATTGTCACTTTCTTCTTTACTCTTTTATGCATTGTCTGAGTGTTATCATGAGCATGTATTAATTTATAATTACAAAATCAATTAAAGCTATATTTATTCCAAAAAAAACGAATCAACACAAAAACCCATCCCAACCTGAGGGTCATGGAACTCAGTAGAGGGTTTCTAAGAGGATCAAATGCAAGAGAA